ATATACGAACCAGAGTCTTGGCAGGAGCTTTATTGAGCTCCCGACGGCGGCAGCTCCTCCCCTCGAAGCCTACAATCTACTCACTTTTTATAAACAGTTCAAAATGTCACAGTAGAAGCAGGGATTAGCAAAGAGAGTTCTGGATAGTCTAGCACAGTGGTGGCGAACCTTTTTTGGCTCTTGTGCCAAAGGTAGGGGGAACGCAGGCCGGGGGTCATGTACAGGCATGTCACACTCATATTTGCACGACCCAGCGCACATGCACTTGCTTCCCCCCTCCACACATGTTCGCATGACCAGCGCTCTCCCCTGCTTTTGGTGCGCTTTTTTCACTCACCCCAGGCTCCAGAGGCTTTCTAGGAACTGGGGGAGGGCGAAAACAACCTCCCCCCACCCCAGAGCTGCCCCGGGGGGGGGGGGCTCTGAAGGCTCTGGAGCGTGAAAAGCGGCCCTACAGGCAAACCAGAAATTCAAAAATGGACTTCCGGTTTGCTCACAGGGCCATTTTTGGCCCTTCAGAGCCTTCAGGGAAGCCTCCTGAGGGCGAAAAACAGCCCTATGAGCAAACCAGAAGTCTGTTCTTGAATTTCCAGCTTGCCTGTAGGGCCAGTTTTCGTGCTCCAGAGGCTTCAAGGAAGGTGAAAAATGGCCTCAAAAGAAGGCCGAAGTCAGCTGGCCAGCGCACGCATGCGTGCTGGAGCTGACAGGGCAATGCCTCGCGTGCCTAACAAATGGCGCCGTGCCCACCTGTCGCACGCATGCCATAGGTTCGCCATCACAGGTCTGGCATATGCATTCCATATCTTTCCCTGACCTCTTACATCAATACTGTGATACTCTCCTAAGTATCGTAAATGTTTTTAGTCATCAATAGCAATAGGTCAATTCATCACTGAAGACAATCTGATAGTGTTACCTTTATCCTGAGGTGCTAGGTCTTGAGCCTTATGAAGCTCAACCTGTAAAGTTAAATAAATAATTAAACAATATGTAAATGGGAGAGCCAATTTAGTATGGTAATTAAAGTGTTGGTCTAGAAATAGGAAGACTGAGTTTTAATCCCGCCAGTCGGTTTCTCTCTGTTCAACCTACTTCACAAGGTGGTTGCGGGAAAAATAGGAGTAGGAAAGAATATCAGGTATGTTTTCTACCTTGAGTTACATATAAAGTAATATAGTGATTTTTAAAATGTTAAAAATATATTTATTGCAATATTAATGAGAAAAGTGTTTATGCTTACCAATGCCTTATTGTACTCTTTCGTTCCTTCCCAAGCTTGGGCCTTTCTATAAAGTGCTTTAGTATTTGTGGGATCTATGGCCAGAGCCTATTAAGTGAGAATATTAGTTATAATATTTTTCACCAATAAAATCCATTTCTAGCTATTAAGACTTGATTTAGGTGTTTTATGCAAACAAATTCTAGACGTTCTATAGTCTGGATGATAATCCACAGTCAATCGGATTCAATCAATTCAAACTAATGGAAAATGAAATCTGAAGCAGTTAGAAGTCTAAATCGCTAACATCCACCATCTGTATACTAAAACTCCTGATTTTCTGGACACTCATTAAACAAACTTGGATATAACAGACTAAATGGTAGACCCCAGGTCCACTGTTTCTGAAACAGCAATTTACATCATTGGTGTAATTACATAATTGATGTTATTCTAATAACTATGTAAACTTATATAAACATACATAAATTATAAAACTATAAAAATGTCAATTGCATATATCTGCAGTTATGACATTTTGGAATTAACAAGATTCCCTTTTCTAAAAGTAATAAATTTGGGGTTTAATTATTCTGGTCGTAGTGTACATTTAACAGATCCTGGTTTAGTAGAGTTCAGATGCAACGCACCAAATCTATATACTGTACAGTTAGCCTTTGTGCAGATTTAAATTCTTATTTGCTACTTTGTCCATGTATAAAATGTGTAAAGTCCCATTCACATATTACGCACATAAACTTTCATTTGGATTTAATAAATATTCTTTTTGAGACAAACTTTCTACCCTATCACTTTCCTAAATTGAGGGTTTAGTATATTTGCATAAGTATTCTGTGCATACCATTCATCCTGTTACTATACATAAATTCCTGAGAATATATACTGCAGCATGATTATACACCACATGAATGGGACAGCACACAGAATGCTTAAGGAAATATCTATTATTTACATAGGTATTTTTTTCAAATAACATACTAAAGGCAAATGTAAGATTATAATCTCAATTTTTAAATATATGGTGCGAACACTTGAATAAGATACTGGGGTATGCAGCAATTTAGATTCAAAGAGGAAAAACTGACTGGAACTATGAATATGACACGCTTGCCAGGAGCTCCTGTAAAGGAGTATATATTCCGGGCCTTTGGCAGCAACAGTCATATAATACCAAGAAAAGATGGGACTGATTTAAAGATGTGACTCCTATATGGTGGCAGGGACGGATACGGATAATCTGAACTGATTTTACTTTGCTTTACTATAAAACAACCTTGATGAAAGATGGATAGTGCCTAAATTTGATAAATTATTTTAAGAGATTTTTGGCTTCATGGAAAACTGCAGAACTTACCATATTTTTCGGAGTATAAGATGCACCTTTTTTCCTCAACAAAGAGGCTGAAAGTCTGGGTGCATCTTATACATGAATACAGCAGTTTTTGCCTCCCGAAACCCCGCCCCCTTCACCAAAATGGCTGTACATAGCCTCATGGAGGCTCTCAGAGAGCTCCTGGGGGCTGGGGAGGGCAGAAATGAGCAAAATTTTGCCCCTCCCCGAGGCCTCTGCAAGCCCCCCCCCCCAAGGGTATTTATGCCTCTCTTTAAAAAAAAATAGGCCCATTTTCGCGAAAAACGGGCCATTTTTGGAAGGTTTGCAGAATGCAAAAACTTTTTTCCCCCTTTTGGAAAGCTCNACACCTGGCACTACCTTCTATCTAAAATATCTTGTATACATATGGATTAAAAAAATAAAAGTAATATATCAAAAAAAAAAAAAAAAAAAAAAAAAAAAAAAAAAAGGAGGGAAAGAAAAAAAAAGAAAAAAAAGAAAAGAGAAAAGAGAAAAAGGAAAAAAAGAAACCACTCTTTTTTTACAACCACAACAACAACAATGCTTTTTATTAACTCTCAGACTATTTTTAAAATAAAAACTGTCTTGTTGCTTCTTGAAGATTAGCACACTTAATAGGTTATATTGACCACAGTTTATATGATTAGATGCAGGTAGTCCTTGTTTAACAATCACAAAAACTACATCATGGAAAACTACTTAACCACAACTGAGTTTACAGTTTTATTTCAGCTTTCCTTTCTCCCTACTCCCCTGCCCTTTGGAATGTTCATTGTGGCACTAAGATAATTAGCAAGAAGGCAATTAAGTGTTTGTATTTACATTTTTTTTAGATTAAGCGAAAGAGATTAAGCAGCACACAATGGGGGATACATGTTGAAAGAATGTGCTAGTGCCAGCTGTTTGCCTAATATGCTCCCAGCTTCTTCCTCTCCATTGTGTTCTGTGAGTGGAGGAAGAAAAAAGGGTCAGACATAGGAAAGATTAGCACTTGGCCTTTGATAAGTGAGGTCTACCGATACTATGCTTCTAATGAAATGGACTGTCATCCACGTTTATGTTAGATTTTGATATGTAAAATATCTTTGCTGCAATATAGTTACCACCTGGAAAATATCTTTTTATATAGTTTTTTATATGACACACTAACATTTAATTATTTCCATTATGAATATGTCATTGCGGTTTCCTTTTTTCATTATTTATAGGGATTGATCTGTCAGAATGCCTACAGTATCCAGATTTCAGTGTTGTCGTTCTTTACAAAAAAGTTATAGTTGCTTTTGGTTTCATGGTGCCAGATGTCAAATATAATGAAGCATATATCTCTTTCCTTTTTGTTCATCCTGAGTGGAGACGATCAGGGATTGCAACTTTTATGATATATCATCTTATTCAGGTACTTTGAAATGATTCTGTTATCCTGAGAAATATGACTTGACGTATTCATTGTTCAGCTTTTTCAAAATTAAGGAGGTTATTTACCTATTTTTCTATTTTGCTTTTTGGCCTTGATGTAGCACCTGAAAAAATACCGATAGAGGAGAATATTTGTAGCTCAGGGTTGAAATGAGGGGTCTTTGGTGCTCTCAGCTTGATTTTTTTCTTGCAGATTTTTAATTACCCAAACTACCATATTTTCCTGAAAATAAGACCTATCCACAAAATCAGCCCTAGCTTGATTTTTACATGTGTCCAATATAAGCCCTACCGCCCCATATAAGCCAGTGCAGCAGTTCAAGCAATCAAATGTCTCTCTGTGTGAGAGAGAGAGGCACAGAGAGAAAGAAAAACAGCAGAAGGGAACCAAGTAAGGGGACCAAGCCTCCTCTGCCCAGAAGCAACATGCAGCCTCTCACAGTAACGAGAATTGCNGAATATAGGAGTTTATAGGTAATATCAGCATCTTGAACTATGCTCATAAAAGGAATATAGGAGTTTATAGGTAATATCAGCATCTTGAACTATGCTCATAAAAGGAATAAGCAGTGAAGCTTGATAGCAGTGATATTATATGATAGTATCACACTAAGTACATGTGGCCATATTGTGTACCATCTGAAGTTTCTGGTTGGACTTCAAGGGAAGCCCCACATACAGCACATTGTGGTCATTCATAGATAAGGTAACAAGGTCATGAGGGACTGTCATCAGCAAATTTTCTTCTAAGAAAGATGACAGTTTTCATACAACCTTTCTGGCCATGATCCCAAGCAGAAGCTATGTGCTCTGAGATCCATATTCTGAACTGTGAGTTCAGGGACCCATACTTTCATACTATGAATGTGTACTTTCAAATAGAACAGAGCCCCATTAGGAACCAAACTTGGCATCACCCCAAATCAGCTTTTCTAATGGGCTTTTCTAATGTGAATATAACCTTGAGGAACATAAGAAAAACCCATAGCCATGTAATAGAAATCTGGCCATTGTAATTACCAATTTATCATGTGTAATTGGTATCAGTAGCAAATTGCTATCTCAACCCATACTGATGGATGGCCTTTTCCTACCTTTTTGTGCGTATATGAAATATGAGAGAAAATAAAGCAATCCTGGGGGGATCTCCATATTGAAGTGCTTGCTGGCTCAATTTTTCCACTCCCAACCAATATCTGGACTCACCCAATACAATAAAACATGTCCCAAGATATGTGGATAATGTAGAAGATGTCAACAAAGGTCCTTATGAGATTCAAGCAGGATAAGGGTGATTACCATCCTTATTTCACTCAAACTCATCAATAAGAATAACCAATGCAGTTTCTGCTCAGTGCCTCCATCTGAATCCTGACTACTACAGTTCCAAATGATCCATTTCTTCTGGAGATGCTTGTAATGGCCACACCATCACCTCTTCAACATGCTTATCAGCTCTACCTAGGATCTCTACTTTTTCAACATTTGCAAAATTGTTATCAGTGATAAGCTGATCAAACAGTATAAACTGATTGATAAAATAAAGCTGGTGGTTTTTTTTGTCATGGATATGTTTTGTACATATGTAAATGTTTGGCTCATTTGCCCCTTGGAACATAGGCTGTGAAATAAGCATGTTGAAGTTCTGAACATGGCTTATTCCCTGGCTTTTAACCAGTGGTGGGTTGCAGGCGGTATGCCCCGGTACAGGCATACTGGAGCCTGCCTGGAGCACTGGCTACCATTCCGGTACAGTGTTTCGGAGGGCCCACCTGCCCGCTTGAGCTGCTTACCTGTTCTTTAAGCCTTTGGTGCTTCCGCACACGCGCATGGTGTGTACGGTGCCTGCACGATGCTCCGCCGAGCAGCTGAAGTATCACGGAGGCTTGTGGAGGCATTGCAGGCAGGTACAATGCATGCATACTGTTTGGAACGGGATCCAAACCCACCACTGCTTTCAACTGACAGGAAAACAGAATTCTATTATTCAGATATGATTGGGGACTTTGGTGCAATGCACAGCAGAATTTCTTTGTAAAAATCAACATGTAAGAGAAGTAAAGGACTTCTGGTGGGCGGAGCCTGACAGGGGGTTGTTATTCTTAACAGCTCTGGAATCTTGGCGTTGTTAAACTGCCTAAGCAGCAATTCATCAAGCTGTCTAGCAGTTTATTTACCCTCTCTTCGGGCCTAGAAGAGAGAGGTGAGAAGGTATGCATCAGAAGCTCTCTATCTAACCCTCTCAACCTAAATGCTGGGAGGAAGGGAGAGGGCACCAGCTGTAGCATGGCTGCTCCGAGCCGAGGCTCATTCTGCCTTTTGCTGCAGAAAGAAGATTTTTCACTCATCCTCAGCACAATGATTTACTATGGACTTCAAGCCGAGCTGAATCAATATCAGTGAACATCTAATTGTATGTATAAATCCTTAGCTCCATTTGCAAAGAATTCCTTCTGCTGATTACTTGTTGAAAGTTCTATACAAAATGGCGCCGAGCTGTGTAGGAGGGCCGTGACTTGGATACAACTTTTGCGAAGCCTAAAAGTGATTTATTACCAAGAAGTGATTTATTATCAAAACAAATAGCAATTGCTGTATAATTGGACTTAACCATTAATTACAGAATATTATTCTGCCTCAAAGGCATAGATTATTACAAAGTCATTCCTTTTTTCTTTT